TCGGACTCCACGCAGCTCAGACAGTTTTCCACGGCGGAAATGCCTCCTCTCCCCCGGGCCGGAGGGAAAGGGGAGGAGGGGAGGCCGCTGGAGGGGGCGGGGTGCACCGAGGCCCGCCTCCACAAAGCGCAGCCTGGGTGCTAGAGGGCACCAGGGCACCGCGGAGTGGAGGGGGTAGCCCAGTGCGCGAGGGAGCCGGGAGAGGAAGGAAGAGGGCAGGAAGGCCCAGGCGGCAGGGGGGGCGGTGGGCTCAGGGCACCCAGCCTCGTAACCCCGAATCTCGAATCCCGGACGTGCGGCCAGGCGGATTCTGGTTTATCTCCATTGCATGTAACATCACTTTCTGGTCCACCAATTCAGGTGCAGACCAACAGCACATCCCTTGCCCCTAGCAGTCCCCCATTTGGGGCGCGATCAATAGTCCCGCCCCCTTCGTAGGCACCAGAGCCCCTCTCCCCATTCCCCACCAATCACAACCCACCGCCCTACTTTGGGTAAACAATGTCCAACCCTCCTCCCATCCCCCACCTGGGGACTCGACCCGCGGCCCCTCCTCCACGATTGGAACCAGACACACATACCCCCACCGACATTCCTCGAACCTCTCCGGACCAGCTCCCTCCCCTATTCTGGGGCCAGGCGCCTAGGGCTCGGTCCACTTTTGGAAGAGACCTTGAGCGCTTCCTCACCTGGGACCATCGACTCGGAGCCCCTCCCGTTCTTCAGACTTCTGCTTTCGGCTGCCGCTGAAGGCCAGGACCCAAGGCCCCTCCCCACTCTGGGATGGATGACCCATTCCGGAATCCCACCCCGGCTCCGCTCGAGACTCCGGGGTCCCGATGCGCCTCGGGTAGTCGCCGGGGCCGGCAAGGCGCGCTTGGACTCCCCGTCCCCTGCCTGAGACCCCCGGTTCCTCTCCCCCGAGCCGGCGTCAGCAGGATCTCAGTGGCTGGGGCGGGCGCCGGGGCCGAGGCCGAGGCCGAGGCCGAAGCCTTGTCGGCCTTGTCGCCCTTGATACCGGCCACCGCGGGCTGGAAGCTGATCTTCACCATGGCTGCGCCGGGCCGCGCGTCCGCCCTGCAGCCTCCGGCCGTGCAGCCACTCTCTGTGCAGCCTCTATCTGTACCACAGCTGCTCGGTTCTCCGCAGGCACCGGAAGTTTGGATCGCGTTGGGTCCTTTTCTCTAACCCCACCCCCAGCCCGCCCCGCCCCCGCCCCCCCCAAGGGAGGGCCTTGGCGCCCTGCGCGCCTGCGCCCCCTTCCGGCCAGCTGGGCTCGCAGTCACCGCTGCCGGGCGCGCTGCTCCGACCTGGGGAAGTCTAAGGTTCCCTTAACCACTCACTCACTCACTCCATTCATCCATAGCATCCATCCATCCATCCATCCAATCAGGCATGGACTCAGTCCCCATCGCTGCTTTATCCCTTCCAGCTGCCTCTCCAAGACCAGCATCTCTAGAACATGCAGTCTTTGTTAGAACCGTGTTTGCCAGGCAAATGCATCTTCCAGACAAGCTCCCCGTGCCCTCTATCCCACTTCATACCCTCCTCTTTGGAAATGCTGGAGCCCCCACTGAACCTGCCCACACCGCTCCCTCCTCCCACTTCCGCTTCAGACGTGTCCTGGGCCCTGGCCGGAGGCTTCAGGGCCAGGTGCCCAATTGCTTGCCTTTATCCTGCATCCTGCATCCATCTACACCTCCTTCATTCTCCATCATCCTTTTTCCTTCACCCTTAATTCCTGCAGAACCTTCCTGGGGGTGCATGCGGAGGGCACTGGAAGCAGAGAAATGAAGGGAGCCCCTGCTCTTTGACTCTCTTGTGTAACCTGTGGCCTCAGTTGCTGAGTGAAGTGTCCTGTTGGCCATTTCTCACCCACCCGGGAGGATTATGGCAAGTGTGATGGGAAGATCCGCAGGGCAGGGTGTCTGGAGGCTCAGTCCTCATCTCACCTGGGATGCCTTTGGGCTGCTCCACCGAGCCCTCACCTGTGACGCGTGCCTCTCCCCATCAACCCAGTTGAGGAGCCAGGATTGGCCCCAGTAGGAAGGTCTCCTGGAATCAACCCCTGCAACAGTTCATTTTAAAACTAAAACCCCAGATGTGAACTTTTACATGTGTTTTACCTCTTTCCCCAAATTGAGTAGTTGAGTGCCGTTCTTAAAAATTATCTGGTTTATTACAATTTAAAGCACTGGTTATTTAAGACCTAACAATGGTAATTAAGCCCTAGAAGGTCAGTGGAGAGGCTTACTGGAAATGCAATGGTCTCAGGCAAGTGTATACCCACGACCCTCCGAGTTCTGTCAGCTCCCCAGAACTTACTCATCTTATAAATGAAAGTTTGCACCCTTTGACCAGCCTCTCCTTATTTCCTCCACCCCCCAGCCTGTGGTAACCACCATGCTGTGTCTGGTTCTATGAGTCAGACTGTTTAAGGTTCTACATACAAATGAGTTCACACGTAGTATTTGTCTTTGTCTGTCTGGTTTATTTCACTCGGCATAACATCCTCCAGGTTCATCCATGTTGTCACAAATGGCAGGATTTTCTTCAGTTTTACAGCTAAATAGTATTCTATTTTACATATACACACACATCTTCTTTATCCAGTCATCCATCAATGGACACTTAGGTTGTTTCCATGTCTTGGCTATTGTGAATAACGCTGCAATGAACATGGGAGTGCAGATATCTTTTCAAGATACTGATTTCATTTCCTTTGGCTATATCCCCAGTAGCGGAATTGCCAGATCATATGGTAGTTCTATTTTTAATTTTTTGAGGCACCTTCATACTGTTTTCCATAATGGCTATACCTGCTAAGTATATCAAAGACAGCGTTCTGCTGAAAAATATCAGTAGAAAGAGACAAATCTCTGGAAAATCTAATTAATAAATAAGAGAGAAAATATGAATACATTTCTATATCCTATAGAAAGGAGCTGTAACTATGACAAGGTGGATATTACAAATTATAATGTATTTTATATACAATCACATCTAATATATATATTCTGAAGTGATGATTTTATGGAGAAGTATAAGTGGCCGAACAGACTCAAGAAGCAGAAGGGGGCTTCCCTGGTGGCGCAGTGGTCAAGAATCCGCCAGCCAATGCAGGAGACATGGGTTTGAGCCCTGGTCCGGGAAGATCCCACATGTCGTGGAGCAACTAAGCCTGTGAGCCACAACTACTGAGCCCGCGCTCTAGAGCCCGCGAGCCACAACTACTGAGTCCGCATGCTGCAGCTACTGAGCCTGTGCTCTAGGGCTCGTGAGCCACAACTGCTGAGCCCTCGTGCCACAACTGCTGAGCCCTCGTGCCACAACTGCTGAGCCCGCACCCCTAGAGCGGGTGCTCCACAACAAGAGAAGCCACTGCAATGAGAAGCCCGTGCACCACAACGAAGAGTAGCCCCTGCTCACTGCAACTAGAGAAAGCCCGCGCGCAGCAACAAAGACCCAACGCAGCCAAAAATTTTAAAAAAGCAAGAAGTAGATCACAATGCCCTATAATAAAGGAAACTACTGGAAAAAGTTCTCAAGCAATTATCTCAAAAAATGGTTCTGAGCAGCCAGACCACTTAACTGGATAATTCTTTCCAACTAAAGCAATAGTTAATTCTACTGATGCTTTGATTAGTTTTAGGTATAGTTTATGTCTTCTGATACAAAAATCTGACAAATAAAAGAGAAAAACATAATTTTAGTTATGAATAGAGATACAAAAATTCAGCAGTACCTCACAAGAACAGTGAAATGCCATATAGGACTTCTCCTGAGAATAAAGACACAGATTTCATGTTTGGAAATCTATTTGGGGAGAAATTGCTTAGTAAAATAATGCTTAAAAGTAATAGTTATTCAAACTTGAAAAGCAGAGAAAAGCATAAAGAAACAAAACAACTATTATGACAAAACCCACAATAACCACTGTTAGTGTTCTGTTATTTTTTCTCCAATATTTCTTACTCTCTGTGTGTGAGTATGTTTGTGCTGTGTTTTTTTTTTACAAAACTGGAACCACATTTTGTGTGTATGCCTGTGTGTGTGTGTGTGTGTGTGTGTGTGTGTGTGTGTTCTCAACTGAGGGCAATTTTGACCCTCAGGGCACACTTAGCAATGTTTGGTGACATTTTCAGTTGTCACAGTGGGGGAGGAGGAGGGGGCAGGGTAGGTGCTACCAGCCTCTAGTGGGCAGAGAAGCAAGAGATACAGCTGAGCATCCTTTAATGCACAAGACAAAAAATTATCCAGTGTAAAATGTCAATAGTGCCAAGGTCGAGAAACCCTGATTAATATCCTTTTTTCTTTTAAAAATAATTTCAGCGTTTTCTCATGTGGTAGGCAGGATACCCACCCACCCCTGCTCCCCATATCCTAATTTCTGGACCCTGTGAATTTGTTACCTTGCATGGTGAAAGGAACTTTGCAGATGTAATTAAGGTTATGAACCTTAAAATAGGGAGATTATCGTGGATTATCTGTGCAAGCCCAGTCTAATCACACAAGCCCTTAAAAAGCAGAGAACTTTCTCTGGTTAGAGTGAGAAAGATGTGGCAGAAGGAGGATGGAGAGAGATTTGAACTATGAGAAGGGCTGGATGCGGCGTTACTGGTTTGAAGATGATGTGGGCTGGGGGGAGGTGTTGTCAGGGAAACAGGCGCCCTTAAAGCCAGGAGAGAGGCTCCCAGCTGAGAGCAAGAAAACGGAGACCTCTGTCCTACACCCACACAGAACTGAATTCTGCCAACAACCTGAGTGAGCCTGGGAGAACATCCCCCTCCAGAGCCTCCAGATAAGGAGCCCAAGCTGACTGGAACCTTGCTTTTGACCTTATGAGGCTAGGCACAGAGGAAACAGCAGAGCCCACCTGTACTGTTGACCTACAGAACTCTGAGATGAGGAAGCTGTGTTGCACTAAATTTATGATAATATGTTACAGCAGCAACATAAAACAAATACATCTGGCATGATTAAAAATTGTCTCATATTCATGAACCTCTTTGTGTGTAAATCTTTGTCTCATCTCATAGATGTTTTTTTCAAACATTGCCGTGGTCCTCTCCAGAATTTTTTTTTTCAATTTATCATCAGCCGTATTTGTGAGAAGTGGCTATACTACCTTTGGTGAAGTCATTTAAAATGTGTCCTTTAATTTGATAAGTAAAAATATATACCTCAACTTTATAATTTTCTAAATTGACGTATAGTTGATTTACAATATTGTGTTAGTTTCAGGTGTACAGCATAGTGATTCAGTTATTTTTTCTGATTATATTCCATTATAGGTTATTACAAGATATTGAATATATTTTCCTGTGCTATACAGTAAATCCTTGTTGCTTATCTATTTCGTGTAGAGTAGTTTTTAATCTGTTAATCCCATACTCCTAATTTGCCCCCCGCCACCACTTCGGTAACCATAAGTTTGTTTTCTACATCTGTGAGTCTGTTTCTGTTTTGCATATAGATTCATTTGTATTATTTTTTAGATTCCACATATAAGTGATATATAGCATTTGTCTTTCTCTGTCTGACTTCACTAATCATGATATTCTCTAGGTCCATCCATGTTGCTGCAAATGGCAATATTTCATTCTTTTATATGGCTGAGTAATATTCCATTGTATATATACCACATCTTCTTAAGCCAGTCATCTGTTGATGGGTTCTTGGGTTGTTTCCATGTCTTGGCTATTGTAAATGGTACTGCTGTGAACACTGGGGTGCATGTATCTTTCCAAATTAGAGTTTTCATTTTTTTCTGGATGTATACTCAAGAGCGGGGTTGCTGGATCATATGGTAGCTCTATTTAATAATATAACATTTTGTCAATTTTTTATTCAAAACATTTAAAGTGCCAGATATTTGCTAATTATGTATTTTTTAAAAGAATGTCTTAGATTTATCAATTCTGTTTTTCTGTTTTCTAGTTACTTTATTTCTGCCTTTAAAAAAAGTGAATATTCTTTTTTCTTCAGATTTGTTCTGTTCTTCTTTAACATTTTTTTTTATTACTAGTGAAGATAAAACATTTGTTCTCAT